AGGTAGTTTTTCGATGGTGCATGTTCGCCGTAGGCTTTTTCAAGCAAACGACGTGCTTCAGCTGCATTTTGTTTCAAGTTGAAGCAGAAAAGCAAAGCTTCCCGCAAATGCTGTTTATTTGGCACAAAACTCGACATCTTTCTTGTTAGAAAAAATATTTTTTGCGTTGCGATATCTGTTGGTATTATGACTGGTTATTGTTGACAGATGTCCAAGTTAATAAAAAAACACAACTTTAGACATGTATATCGACTACATGTATCGTTAGCGCCATCCATGTGTAAAACCCGGAAACTTAGTTGCGCACCTAGTATATTACCAAAGTTTTAAGCTGTTCTTAAATTAATTTATGTTGAAAGCCTGGTAATATAAAAATTCTGTATCTATTATGAAAGATAGATAATGTGTTCAGTATTATATGGAAAAATAAAGCACATGAAGAAGACCTAATTATGCTGTGATATTTCCGTTGACATAACTTTCTTGTTGAATTTATTAATATTCCTATGATAGATGATAGCACATTGATAATAATGATGTTTATTGACCAATGTTACGCTTAAACTTAATGTTACGCTTATTTATGATTATTATATTATATTAATATCCTATGAATGCATGCATATAAATTGCCACAAAAAATTACCATATTTATAATTAAATAGAAGAAATAGTAGCCTAAATCGTATCACTTAAGATAATTTGTTTTATATTTCCCATTTGGTACTAATTTGTACATAAATTAATATTAAAAATTATCATGTTTAACTTTTTGCTAAAAACAAATTAATTAGTTAATGACTTTTTATAACATAATGTTAAAAGTACGATTAATCAACCGGTTCTCTAAATCGTATCTTCTTTAAAAATAACAAATTTGTGAATAAAAATAATTAAAAAAATATGACGAAGAAGAGAAAATTATTTTACATATACATATTTTATCAATAAATAAACATAATAAAAATAGTTAATATATAATGATTAAGAAACGTATTTATATTAATGTCAATAAGTTTATCAATAATAAAGAAAAGAAAACATCCAATATGTAATAATAATAATTAAATAATATTTATTCATGTAGATTTTAATTATTTATATAAAAGTATTCAGTAAATATTAATGAGAGTTAATGTGTCACATAACAAATGTGATAACAGATATGCGTAACAACGGTATGATTTAAGAAACCTCAGGGTAGTACGATTTAGGAATTATGACAACCTTTGCAAAAATATTAATTTAATTTCTATAATAATTGTAATATGTGTATGAAAGACATGTGAAATATTCTATGTACAATAAATCTAATATATGTTTTTATAGAAACATAAATATGTAAAACAAAATTGTATTATTAGATTATTATAAACTATGTAATATAGTAAAAAATTACATCAGCCATATCTGATTATTTTTTAAAAATATTTATAACGCACAAAATAAGATAATCTGTTAATTTTTTGTGTATATTTTTCATTACTTATTCCTTTTTTATATTCACTATTAGATGTTGCTTATATTCAATAAATAACAAAGATTGAATAATACGATTTAGGCGACCAGCATGCATTAGGCAGCTTTTTTCTACAAAGTTTCGATAAATAAATGAAAACTTTATTTTTTATATAAATTTAATATATAAAAATAGTAACAAGCAAGGTATTTTTCTTTATAAAAAAATTTGTATAAAATAAATTAAAATTTAATGTAAATAATAAATTAAAATTACTTACCCGCCAAATCTTCATTAATATATTTATACCACTTCACGAGATCATGTATAATTACAGCCATGTTGATGATATAAATTGAATTTTGGTTTTATTTTATTTGCCAAAAAAATTGTCATGCAATTGCAGCTTGCTTGTTTTAATATTCACACAAAAAAGAAAAATGTTAACTAATTAAGTTGAAACTTTTTTTTTATTATCAGTGTCATAAGAATCAGTTGGTAGTTTCAAGAGATTAAAACATTTTCTAATTTTAACTTTTTAGCTTAATTTTGTATTGTTTTCCGAACTATATTGTATTCCAAACTTTAACATGTCACTTAACTAGTTGTGAGCATATATTTATTGGACTATCTTTTTGCAAATTTCTTTCGACGCGACTATTCACCGACTAGCCACCGCGAAATTCTTGAACCGACTGAGAGAACGCTATTTACCCTTTCATTACGTTGTAAATTTCCTTCTCATTGTATTGTAATTATAACAGGCCCGCATACAAAGACGTATTCTCTGTGAAAATATTACATTGATGCTTACTTTCCTGGGTAATGTGACCTTTCGGACTATGTTACCCACCACTGTCCACGTTAAGGAGTGAATGTCGAATATTCATAAGTGATTAAACTAACATAAGAATAAACCATTCAAATGTATAACAGCTCATTTACTTCATTCTTTTTTTAATTCTTATCATTTCCTGACCGATTTAACTAGTGATATTAATATTAGTTGTATTCTAATGTAGATGAGAAAACCTGCCATTCTAATGTCAGTGCTCGACATGTATTAATCATTAACCACAAAGGAATTATGAAGTGCATAAAGTATAAGTAATTCTGTAAAATATTTATTAGCATGGAAGAATTAAATATCCTTTTTAAAAATAATTTAATGTGTTCTTTATTTATGAAAATAAAGCTTTTTGACAATGTTAAGACAATATTAATGCATTAAAGTTACATGCGGATCAACCATAAAAATTAAAAAAATACTTTTTTAAAGTTTCAAGCATGTAGAAAAATTTAACATTATAAAAAATAAATTTACTGTCGTTTACATTATACAATGTACTATGAAATAAAAGTTTAAAATTTTAAGAATTTAATCAAATTGATTTAGCATAGAAAAGCAAGGAATATACAAACTACGGGTTTTTAATGAGTTAATTAACTAAACAGGTCACGTTTATATTAAATGTGATAAATTACAACATTTTTTACAAAAGATTCATACAAAATGCAAAATAATAATAATTTGCAAATTTTTTAATTATTCTACAAAGATATTCACAAATATATATTAGTTTTTTAATAACAAGTTTATAATAACAAGTAAAAAGAAATTTTTTATAAATTTTTTCTTATTTTTTTTATGTATAAGCATTTTTATAATATTATATAACATCTTATAATATTATATAACATCTAGCATATCGCATTCTGTATGAATTTACAAAGAAAGAACACTCAAAAAAATATTTCGCTGATGTAGTTAGATTTCTAGATATCGCAACAAGAATGTATCGCTATTTTTCGTATCTGTGAAAACATTGTTTGTCACATACAGAATTTATAGCAGTAATGTTCTAGCAATAGCTTCTGAAAAATTTAGGTACCATTGCTAAATGTTATTCATTGCATGATCTAACACGTGATTGATCTTATATAGATAGGCGCTTTAGAGAAACTTTCTTTTCAAGTTCACAAACAATACAGATATATATTCTGTTTCTGTCATCTAAACTTATTAAGTAATTACATATGCAATATCACAACAGTTGCTAATCATTTATCTGTTTTAGTTAATTTTTTACACCTAGAAAATTTTAGCTATTATTGCAAGATCATTTTTTTGAGTGAAATTATAATTCTTTAAAGCTTTCTGAACGTTAACCATTTCTTTCAGTCAACAGTATTGTAATCGACATAGCAAGTTTCCAAAAATTTTTAAGTCCCCAATTTGTTAACAACACAGTTCTTCAATTTCATCTCTCATACAAATAATTGCGGCTAATTACAACGTAATTGCATTCACAATGCTGAGACACGTGGCATTAAGAACGCGAGTATGAGATGTTGCGACAATTGCGGCCAACATTCCAGAAAGAATATGCACGTTTATTAGCTGCAACATTCTCGTTTCTGTGTAATCATGTAAGCATGAAATTTTTGCACCTAAACTGTTTATCATTTTTTTTTTCATTTTTGTTGATATCCATGTATTCCTCAATAATCAGCATACAATTACCAAGCGTATAAATTTATAATAAAAAAAATACATAAAAAATTTAATGAGTTTTACATAGAAATTTAAAATTTGCAGTTATTTTCTTATTTTGCATGTTATATTAGTGATTATCACATCTTAATTTATCTAATTGCTAAAAATTATATGTAAATGGAAACTATGATAACATCTGACGTATGTAAAAGAGTTCCACTGCATCCCAATAAGCTCAACTGACTGTGATTGAACTTAAATTACTATTTTTTATATATACTTAATTTCAAAATAAAAATTCTTAAAGTTTGTTCTCTTTACCTTTTCTATAAGATAAAACAAGGAATTTCGGTGTTATTCTGCTCGTCTAAAAAAATTCTCGTATAATTGCAACTTATTTTTTATAATATTATATATATATATTCAAGCGTATAAAAAGTTTATTTATTTTACTTTCTTTTGATTTCTTGTCATTTGCCACTAGATTTAATTAGTTGATATGATATTTGTCGTAAAACAATAATTGTAACATAATAATTTTTAATATTAATAAATTCTGTACTTCAAAAATGCATTGTTCTTATGTAGCTCATTTTATATAGTGATATACTTTTATGTTTAAAAAATAAAAACAATAAAAAGAAATAATTGAATAAATTATGACATAAATTTTCTAAAAAAAGACATCCTTATTTTTCAAAAATTTAAATGTAATATTTTACAACTAATATTAACGTAATCTATTTAAATAATTACATAACTCATTAAAAAGCCATAGTTTGCATATTCCTATTTGTAATAAAAATAAAATTGAGAAAAAAACGATCAAACATTCAACAGGACATTATAAGTTCTAAGTTCATAGTATTTTTGCTCTTTCGTTTAAAACTTCAGTATAGATACTGCTTGTTTCCGTTTTCGTCAACACCGTTTTAATTTCCTGTTTTTTCTTTATATAGGTTTTATAATAAAATTCCCAAAATAATATCATCATGAAGATATTCTGTGGTATCAGTAAATATGCCGGCCATATTGAAAAGCCACAATCATTCGCCCAAAATAATTGTATCTGATGTAAAATAATCATGAAAAATTGAATCAGTTGCAGTTGAGTGATGTACTTCTTCCACGCATTTGTGTTCACCTTCATGGATGTCAATAGATAATGCGTGTACATTATTATATGAACAAATGTATTGAGTAATCCTGAAATATAATGATAGAATAATCAATTAATTGTAGTAAAATAAAGATTTTTTTATTGATAAAGAAATTTCGTTGATCTATACGTCAGTTACATATTTAGTACTGATAAATATGACTATTTGATCCTCATTTATGCTTATTATAATTGTAAATTTTCACAAAAACAAAAAATTAAAATTTGTTATCATGCTGTTATATTTATTGTTATATTTACAACGGCATTAGTTCGAAAATTAATTTTTTTTATAAACAAATTTTTTATACCTAAGAAAGTCACATGTCCGCCAGGTATAAATTTTGCAGCAATCCAAGTAGCCATTACCATGGCAATGTGATGATATACGTGAAGGAAAGACACTTGATTCTCCTTTTTTCTGAGTATGAAAAAGACTGTTTCTAGCAAATCCAAATTCTTGATCATGAAATATACCCAGACCATTTTGGCGATCTATTTCATAGGTAAATATGTAGCAAATATTAATCTATAGTACTAGTAATTTGGCCTTTTATCGTCTGTTATCTTTTACAAAAAATCAATTTAGAAATTAACTGAATTGTTTTAATTACCTCTGTGGCTCTTGGTGTATGAGAGTAATCGATAGGTTCGCAAAAGTAACTGTAATCGCGTAACCATGCCAAAACTAAAGCCTGAAATGTATAATTTTAATAACAAAACATTTTTAATAGCTGCAAAATAATTTTTATTAATATTTTATATTTAGTTAAAGTATTTTATGCTAAAATCAATTTTGGAGAAGAAAAATGTGACTGCCTGGGGAGTTTAATCATTTTTATTACTATCTTGAAACTATCTTGAATGTATCACAAAATTTGCGAAATATTTTATAAATATTTTCTTATATTTGTTTTCTCATTGCTTTTTTATCAAATTTTTTTAAAACTTTATGTACACAACTATAAATGCTACAATTTTTTCTCGATTTTTATATTTTTATAAAGAATACAAAATAAAAAAAGAATATATAAAAAATGTGACTTACTTTATAAAATAAGTATGCATTCAATAGAATTTGCAAAAGATCATATAATTGTAATATTCTGTCCAATTTAAAAGGTTGTCTTCTTGCCATAAATCTTGGTCCACGATCAAGTACAAAATATATATAAAATCCAAGAAGAGTTACAGTAGGCCATGGTGAGCTCAGCATAAAGCGATCATTGTTACGTGGGTCTTGTAAAAACATGTCAAAATTAAGAAAAAATTATTGCGATAAATAATGTTATTACTTGTTATACATATTGTAAACATAGACAAAATTGCCAATAAATAATTATTTCCAATATTTCGAAATAATTTGGAGACGAGAATGTACTAATAATTTGCACAATAATACGATTAATAATGAGCATTATAGCAATAAATACGTAGCATACGTAGCAAGAAAATAATGTATTTAATATAAAATAATAAAATAAAGGTATATCAAAGCGTTGTTACGCGTTGAGGTATTTTCTTTAGCATAATTTTTATTAAACTTATTAGTATTTCTATACGGTAGCACATAAATAATAACGACGCTTGTTTATAATTAATGTATCAACTTATCTGTGATAAATATTATTTTAATATGTCATAATTGCTTGCATAGGTATATACAAATGGCTAAATATTATATTTACATATTTATAATTTAATATAAATAAAATCTAAATAAAATAATTAAAATTTTATCTTTTTTAAATTGAATTCTGAAATAAAAATTATTAAAATTATTTCAATTTAATTCTCATATCTTCCTCTTTCTCTCCTCTCTCTCTCTCCTCTCTCTTCTCTCTCTCTCTCTCTCTCTCTCTCTCTCTCTCTCTCTTTCTTCCTGAGTAATCTTACTGAGTAATGAAATAACTTACCTGGCAAATCTTCATTAATATATTTATACCATTTCACGAGCTCACGTATAATTACAGCCATGACGACGATTGAGTTCAATTTCAGTGTTATTCTGCTTGTCCAAAATAATTGTCATGCAATTGCAGTTGACTTTTTATAATATATGCACACAAATAATAAAGAAGAATGCTGATTAAATAATTTGACTCTTTTTCTTATCAATATTGGTTGATAATTTTAATAGATAAAACGCTTTTAATTCTTGCTTGTTAAATTAAGTATTTATCTCTAATTGTTTTTTAAACTGATTGTTTTAAACTTTAATCTGTCACTTGACTATTTTTAAGTACGTGTTTACTGGTCTCTCTTTTCGCAAATTTCTTTTAACGCGACTAACCGCCACGAAACTTTCGAATGAACTGTAGGAATGCTATTCCCCCTTTCGTTACATAATAAATTTCCTTTCCATTGTATTCCTTTTCATTAAAATAAGCCCGCATACAAAGACGATATCTTGTATAAAAATTGTGGCATTAACGCTAATGTTTTGTCGATATTGTAACCTTTCGTGTAACATTAACTTCCAATGATAAAAAGAAGTGTCAAATAGGTGGTATTTTGAGAGTACATTGTGAAAAATAGGTTATTCAAGTATATAAAAACTTATTTACTTTATCCGTTTTTTATCTCTTGTTACCGTCTAACTATTTGATATCGATATAATCCTTGTGTTTTGTATCGTTATGTTTAATGTCAATTCTTAATACATATCATTCATTGAATACAGAATTCATAAAACACGTTCAGCGTAAATAGTTCTAGAAAATATTTATATATTATTATGGAAACATTAAATATATTTTAGAATATTTTTATAAAATAGTTAATGATAAAAATTGTTTTAAAACTCAATTTTTCTGTCTTAGAAAAAATTTATTGCTTGAAAATTAGAACAGACATTATAAAAACTAGAATAGTCTATAATTGCACATAACTTCTTGTGTATATCTGTAGATATAAATATTTATTATAAATTTTAAGCTAAAGAGATAAAGTTCAAAAATAAAATGATACATATTTATTGATATTTTATCGATACTTTATTGATATTTTCTCTGTATTATCAAGTTAATGTTTAAAACACAAAAGAATTATCGAATTATTTTAATAAACAAAACATTCAAATTTTAATTATTTTAATAAAAATAAATGAATGTTTAATTCTAAGGAACATTTGCATAAATACCAAATATAAAATATAGCCAGAAAAAGATCAAACATTAGACTGAACATTGTGGTCTAAATTTATAACATTTTTGGTTTCTTATTGGAAATTTCAGTAAAAAGTTCTTCTTTTGTTATCGTTTTTATCGGCATTGTTTTGATTCCAGTTTTTTTCTTTATGTATGTTTTATAATAAAAATCTCCAAATAATATTATTATGAACACATTCTGTGGTACTATAATATACGCCACCCATACTGAGACGTCACAATTTTCCACCCAGAATAATTGCATGTCATGAACACCAACCAGAAAAAATTGCACTAGTTGCAACTGAGTGATATATTTCTTCCACGAGTTTGTGCTTATCTTCATAGATGCCAACAGATAATACGCGTACATTACTGAATGAACGAATGTATTGAGCATTACTGAAATAAAATATTATAATAATCGAGTAATTATCGCAAAATTATATAACAATTACATAAAAATAAAAATAATTTATATTAAGATTTTTCTGTATATTTTATTTGTATTTTTTTAAACTTGATTGGTGCCTGCTTCGAATATATGTTTAAAATTCATAAATATATATATTTAATTCTTATTCGTACTTGTTATAAATATAGATTTTACACAAGATAAAAACAAATAAAATTTGTTATCTTGCTGTTATATTTATTAAGTTCATTGCAAAACTAATTAAAAAATAAAAATTGTTAACTCGAAAATTATTAATCTGTATAAATCAATATTACCAATTTTACATACATACCTGTAAAAGTTACATGACCACCAGGTATGAATTTTGCGACTAGCCAACAAAGTATTACCATACCACCGTGATGATATACGTGAAGAAAAGTTACTTGATTTTGCTTTTTTCTGAGTATGAAAAAAATTGTGTCTAACAAATCTATAACCTTGACCAGGAAATATATCCAAAGCACTCTGGCTATCTATTTTATAGTCGAATATGTAACAAATATTGATTTATTAATTTTTATTTGTATATTACAAGTTTCTTATTTTTATGTAATGTAAAAAGGGAAATAATAATGTAATAATAACTAAAATACAATATTAATACCTTGAATTAAATGTTATAAATTTTATATTTAGATATCTTAAATTTATAAATTTTTAAATTATATATATGTATTAATTTGTTGTCCCTTTTATATTACGTGCAAAAAACTAGTAATCTGATCTTTGTTCGCCTATTATTGCTTATAGGTTGAAAATAGACTCAGAATAACAAAACATGTTATTCTTTAATAAATTTGTACAAATAATATATTATAAAAATAGTGCAGTCTGCCATTATAAATTTCTAGTTAATGTATAATACTTGATTTATATATAATTTATTTATTTGATATTTAATACTTCTAGTCAAAAAATTAAGTTAGAAATTAATTAGAATTTTTTAATTACCTCTATGGTTTTTGGTGTATAAGAATAATCGACGGGTTCGCAAAAAAAATTATAACCGCGTAACCATCCTAAATCCAAAATCTGAAATGTATAATTTTAATAAAAAAATATTTTAATCGCTATATACGGAATAATTTCAATTAATAATTGATATGCAGTTAAACTATTCCTCACGCAAAAATCAATTTTTGATACAGAGAAATGCCTACTCTGGAATTTTAACCATTACCATTGCTATCTTAAAACTTAAATATAATATATAATTTGCAAAATTTACAGAATTTGTAGTATATCATTTTCCATTAATTTACATAAGTTTCAAAATGTTATATACAAAACTGTAAATGGTACACAATCTGTTTTGTCTTTATATCTTTATAGAAGATTAGAAATTGAAGATGAAGATTGAAGAAAAATGTGACTTACTTTGTAACATATGTATGCATTTATTAGAACTTGAAAAATATTATATAATTGTATTATTCTGTCCAATTTAAAAGGTTGTCTTTTTGCCATAAATCTTGGTCCAAAATCATATATAAAATATGTATAAAGTCCAAGAAGAGTCAGACTAGGCCATGGTGAATTCAACAGGAATCGCTCGTTGTTACGTGTATCTTGCAAAAAATATTAAGTTAAATAAAAAATAAATATAAATTATTGTGATAAATAAAATTATTTCTCCATTGTTATAAACTTAATTAAAATTACTGACAAATAGTAATTTTAAACATTTTTAACTCTGAATGCATTAGTAACTTGTACAATAATGCAACAAATAGTGAGTACTGTAGTTATGTAATAACTATATATTGTTGCACCCGCGGAAAAACGTTTCTACCATTCTATTACTTAGAATCGAAACAATATGTATTATATAATAATTACATGATTAATTTTGTGTGTAATTTTTTTGAATTTATATTGCAATTTAAAAATAACAAATATACATATTTAAAATTTTTATTGCTAAAAGACTGATAAGTTTATTAAAAAACTTACATTTTAATTTAGTACAAACAAGGTTTAAATTGTTTAATTAAAAATTTTAATTAATTTATTTTTCAAATAGAACTTAATGTCTCTTTAATTTATTTTTAACATCTCTCTCTGTTTCATATTCTCTCTCTCTCTCTCTCT